AGTTTTATTAAGTAAAGACTTTAGTCCTTAAAGTTTCGTAGGAACGAAGTTACGGAAAAATCAATTAACAAACAGAGACGTAACAATATTAACTTTTCTTTGTTTATGGTTTTCTAACAGCAATATGTGGGTGAAGGCTTCAACCCTAACTGTAATTGTTTGTAGTCTTATAATATTTTTATTAAATGATAAATTTAACTGTTTTTTTAAAGAAGATCAAATCTTTAGATTTTTTTATTGTATTTTCCTTAAATGTTTTTCCTTCTAGGGAGGAAACAAGAAGGAGATTCAAGTTACAAACTTTATTACATGGCTACAACAGGAACCACAGTCTCTTGTCTGGCTCCCAGTGCTACACAGGCTTGTAGCAGCAGAGAATGCCAAACATCAGGCGAAGTGTAACATCTGTAAACAATACCCAATAGTTGGATTAAGGTTAATAATATTTTATTCAATATAGAGTGTAACATATTCAAACATTGTTGAGTTCTAACTAGCAGTACATGCTCTAAACTGATCATAATACTTTTATTCTTTCTCCAGTGGATAACCTCTTCACTAGTAGCCAAAGTGTCAGAGACAATGATAGTTTATATCAATTGGTAGAAGCTCAAACTTTCATGTTATGTTGAAAACTTAACTGTATCTGCATGCACCTCGATGTTTTTAGTAAAGTGTTAAAAAATGGAATATGTTAAAGCATTTTTATTTTGTTTTGTAAAAAGAGATGAAAAAAACATATTTCACAAAGTTACGATGAATAATGTGAAACAAATTGATGATATATATTCTTTAGGTTAACTACATGAAAAAATATATTTTCTGCCAATAAAGCTGAAAAAACTTTTCATTTGAAAAAAAAAAATTTTTTTGCATGTGTGCTGAAAAACACTGTTTCATATACAACAGCTAATGTCCTCGGGTAATATTGTTCATAAAATTGTCAAAACTGGAAAAAATAATACATTATCAGACTTGAGTATACTGTTTCAAACTTTATTTTGTGCAAATTTACCCAATGGCTGTCTGTGCATAGGTGTCCCTAATTTTGAACTAATAGATTTAAGGAAAAGCAACTAATCAAAAGCTCCCTCCACTAACTCTTGAGGGACTGCTTTTAAGTAGGGGAGCACATTTTTGCAGCAATGTGTCATGAGCCATGAATCTTTCAATTCAATATCTAAACAATCTTACCACTAGGTCCAATTTACAAAACTGTTATGTAAAAGCAAAATTTCTTGCAAGATCAAATTATATAGGTCACTAAAATAAATAATGCTTTGCAGCTGGTGTCAAAAAGTATAGTACTATATATCTATCACTTCTGGTTTATGAAGGTTAAAACACCTAAGCAAATACTGTAGTATTATTAAAGAAATAACTAGAATTAACTCTTACGTCGTAATTATTTATTCCTTTGATTGAAAAAAAATTAAGATTTTAAGGATATAAAAGGTGAGACACTTCAGTAAACTTTTCACCAGTTTACTAGGTATAAGATTTTTGAAGAATAGCATCAGTAATACTTGTTTTTTTTTTTACAATTCTGATAAGTTAATGACTTGTATAATCATTTCTATTTTGATCATTATGACAAAGTCTTCTTACCTCACACTCAATGAGTTCTTACAAGTTGTTTTCCATTTACTTCCCAGCACCTATGTTTTACAGTAGATATAAAAAATACTTATAGCAAAACTGTGTAATAAATAGTATACTTTGATAAAATAATGATAAACCTTAAAATTGAGAATTAATGGCTGTTTTTGTTATTGCAATATCTAACAAGCAACAAAAAATACTAAAATTGTGTTTCAACAATAAATTGACATAAGAGCTTAAGAACAATTCAACTTTTGTTTTCATTGGTTCATTTCTTACAAGAAATTTTCATTTGAAAATGTGTCCTTCCCCATGTTTGTGTCAAGATTTTGGGGAAAGTCAATTGCCTTTTGGTAATTTACCTATGAAGACCTGTTTTCAGTGCTAAATTTGTCAATATACACTGATAGTATGTTCCAAAGTCATACTTACTCTAGTCTTAGTTGCATGCTCAAGACTGGAACATGTGATGTTTGCATGAAATTCAAATGTTGTACATGCAGTCACAAGAGGGCTTCTGTTGAAGTTAAAGTGAACAAAAAGAGAAATAGTAAAAAATAAACTTAAATCAAAGCAGGACAGAAAACTGTGAAGCAGAAGGAATAGAAAAATAGAATACTTTGTTCCTCTCTTTGTAATCACTTGTATTGTCATAGATCATTCAGTGACTTACAGACTTAGATATAATTGATCAGACCTCAGTTAGTGAAAGTCAAAAGAAATAGTCTAGCATTTATTGTTGTTTCTACCAAGCAAAAGGTCCACCTTTTGAAAGAACTCGGGTTATATGGTTTTTATCATCTTGTATGTGAGTATAGATAATGGTGATATGGATGTATTCCAGTAGTGCATGTATAAGTAGAAATGTCTTTTTACTGTTAATTTTCTCCTTTTTTAGGAACTTTTTATTCATTGTTTGTTCATTTTTTGTAAATTGGAGCATCATGGCTGATTTGATAACTTTTAAATACTTGTAGTGTGATTAAACTGCATTTAGTAGCTTACAGTATGAATTAAAGTTTAACTTAAAACAAATCATCAAAGCTGGCCAAACCTCAAGAAAGTTTGTTGTTTTTTTTTAAATACAGTCAAAGACATTGTTAACAGGGTAGATACACAAATTATGAATCAGTGTTCTATATTGTGTACTTGAGAGCCAACTGCAATAGCTGTTCCTAATTTTGAAGTGATAGACCAGAAAGGCAGCTAGTCAACAACAACCACAGCCAACTCATGGACTTTTCTAATCAAATAGAGGGATTTGACTACCACTCTTATAATTCACTCAGGGCCACAAAGTGTGGAGGGTGATTATTATTTTATGATATGGTACATTACCTCCTCTCACATAAATAGCTGTTCTCCTTCAGTGATGCCCTCTATATGCAAAAAAATTTCGCATGCCACAAGCCTTGAACTTCCAAGTACCTTACAATCCTTACATTTGACTGATTCAAATGTGTCTTCCTATGCCACTACTGTGGAATTAGCCTGGTCTAATACGGCTTTTTTATACATGATTTCTCAGGTATGTTCTATTTTATCCATTTCCTTGGTTTTGTATGATCTTTTTTACATGATACCTCCTCCTCTCAGTAGTCCCTAGATATTGGGGTTTGTGCTGAGCATTTTGTTTCTCAGATGATTGGGAGGTGCCAGCATGCCTCGCCCTCCATGGGCTTCAGATCAGATTGCCTGGGGCTACCATCAGTCTGAATGTCAATTTATCGACACCCAACAGTTAGAATCAATTTTGCCCATGTGGGGGCAGACCCTGATCATCCTGTTCGTTTATCCCACGCCTAATTGTCCTGCCTTCATCTTACCCTATCGACTCTCCTGTGGTACTTGTCTACTATCCACCTCCTTCCAAGGCGATCCACAGAGATCCTGAGTGCTTTTCAAGGGATTGACTTTCCCTGATTACTTCCATGTTGGCAAATTTGTCTTCTTTTGCTCTAGCCTTACACACACACACACGTGTTTTCTCGGTTGTTGGGATCTTCTGGGGAGGGACTCACCCTTGTCCCAGGTTCGTTTACCACCTCCTTATCTCTGGGACTTATTTGTGGCCCCTTTTCTTCAGCAGTATGTTTTTATTAATATTCTTGAGACTTTGGAGTCTTGTGTGGAGTCAGTATGACAGTACACTACCCTTTCTTTGGTGGATTGTTTGTTGCATTCTGAGCCTATACATGCCTCTATTACTGTATATCATCCAGCTCCTTCTCAGCCTTTACCTGTTCGTCTCTCCAGGGGTTCCTCATCTCGTCGTTTTATTCGAGGCAGATGGAAATGTCGCCAATGATACTGGTGACTACCCAGTGGAAGCTCACTTGTCCGATTATGTTTCCCTTTGGCGACCTTTCGCCACAGATCTGTGAGTTATTCGGGTTTAGTCTGAAGGATATGTCATGCATTTTCTTTCTCCTCCTCTATTATCTCAGATACCCATTTCCTTGGTATCCTACTACCAGTCAGCATATGTTTGAGGTAGTACAAGATCTCTTCCAGCAGGCCATCGAACCTGTCAGTCATCCTTCTCCAGGTTTTTATTCCAGGAGACTGGTGGCCTGTGATTAATTGGTCCTGCCTCAATCAATTTTTGTTTCTGCCCGATTTACCATGGAGTCTTTTCTCACCGTAAAGTGTTTTCTTTCTCTGAGTTTGTGGATGACCATAGTAGACATTGCGAATTCTTACCTGCATATCCCGATATCTTGTCAGTCGAGATGCTATTTTCAGTTCATTCATCATGGGGTAGCTCGTCAATTTTGCACCCTGCCCTTCGGGCTTGCTTCTGCCTCCTGTGTATTTGTCAGGTGGTCAAGGCATTCACCCAACATTTACATGCTCAAGGCTTGTGCTTCCCTCATTACATGGACAACTGGGGTCCACCCATCACATTCATTGGCTGTTCCTGGAGGCAGCTCATATGGGCTGGTTAATCAAATTGGAAAAGTCATTCTTTATGCCTACCCAATATTTTGTCCATTTGGGTGTTTTTCACCACTCAATCAGACCCAACCTTCTCCTCTTTGACTTTGTTTGATGGAGCTTTCAATTCCCCACACCCTTACTGCTCCCTCTTTTACAGCTCGTGAGGTTTTATCGCTTTTGGGAATGTGGTCTTCCATGGAAGCCATTATCCCCTTGGGTCGAGTACATATACAGTCTCTTCAGTGGACTCTGCACAACCAATGGGATCCATTGGAGGCTTCTATTTCCCTTCCTCCTTCCCTTGTAGATGATCTGCATTGGTGGTTGGACAAGGCTTACATGTCGGCGGGTGTTCTGCTTCTTCCCCCTCATCCTGATTTACATATCTTCACATATACACTAAGTGGTCACAAGTAAATAGAAACCAAATTTTTCGTCACTTAACTGATTTATGCTAACTAATTTGTGTTCAC